AAAACATTGATAAGGTCAAGGTGGTAGGTGGTTATGCGATCTTGTTTCCCTGCTTAAATTTAACCTATATTAAAATAAAAAATCGACTAAACTCAGTCTGCCTATATGCGACTTTAGTACTTTACGTTGCAGTTTATTGCGGCGTTTAATTTCAGTTTTCCGCTTTCTTAATAACACCGACTATATCGTTAATCCGCCTGCTTCGCTTTTGACGACTAAATGTGATTTTATGACAGTATTTTCCAATGATTCCATATACCTACTACATAGGTGCACTATACGTCTACACTCTGCACGTCATATCAATGTATCATATCGTAGAATCTATATTATAATACTAAAACAGTAAAACCTACACCGCAATCAAAAATAGTTGTAACATATACGACGGAACTGCAGATGCGCGTGTTCGCGGTTTAAACGGAGAGGAAATAAGACGTGAGGTATAACAAAAAATTACGACGATATTATAATATGTTGACGGTGCAGGACATACAATATTATTATATTATTATTATTGTCCAATAGCGGCTATCGTCGTCGTCGTGCAGCGCAGTGTCTGATGACACTCGATTAGGTACCGCACGTCCTGCAAGTCGGAATCGGACACCCCACACACACGCACACTCGCAAACCCACACGCACACACACGCCAACCCTTTTCTATTCTAATTATGCAAAGTCGAAATAAAGCGCAAAAGGGGGAGCCGCCGCAAGTATAATGGTGTTACGGTTCCGGTGCCGGGGCCGTTGTTTGGTGATTTATTACAGTGGCCGTAAACATTGAGGCTTCACGCGTTTCTCTACATACACGGAAACCGGTTTCCGGTGTTTTCCGCGACGGTCGGCCGGTGCCGTCCGCGGAAGGAAACGCTGCTCACCATAGTTTTTGTCGTTGAACCAGTACCGTGTGTGTGTGTGTGTGTTGCACGCAACAATACCCTTCTCGCGGACTCGCGTGTGACCAACGGTCGCGCAAAACAAGGGCCGTAAGTGCATTGTAATCTACGAGGGAATTACCTAAGCTAGCGTAAACATTGAAAGGATTTACAAAACGATTTTTTGTTCTTCCTCCTTTTTTTCTGTTGCATTCTCTGTCTATCCCGCGTACGGTCTTACTGCCACTGCGGCGGAAATAATAATAATAATGATAATAATAGTCGCGTTCAAAAAAATAGCGGCCAGCCGGATCAAGGACTTTATTTAGGGATTAAAATGAGACGAAAAGAAGCGTACGTGATAGGTACGTGATATTTTACGGCCGAGCTGGATATATGCTTCGAAAAATCAACACGTGTTTGTATCACAATTGTACGGGGTAACGGTGGCGGTAGAGGTCACGTCGAGAGGCGATCATCACCGCGGAATCCGTTTCGTCGGGTCCACCAACGCGAAAACAATTTCTCCGGTGTGTTATTGATTTTAAATGCATGCAATGTACCTACAACGTGCTGCTACGCTCACAATAGTGATATACCAGGGGATTCTTATTTCTATTATCTGCGATATAAGCACATCAAAACCTTATTTATTATAATACCGAATTCGATTAAAACTAAAGGTATATTTAAATATAATATATACATAAATACAGTACTGTGTAACTGACGAAAACAGAAATAATAAGTAATAACCAATATTTCTAATATTATTTTTTATTTTTTATAAACGGCCGAATTAATTTTGGCCCTAATAGTGTTCAAAAGTAGACAAATTTAATGTATTACTGATTATGGTGATAAACACACCACGTCATATTATACACGAAAATACAATATGTATGTATAGTTGAAACTTGTAACAATATAATATATAAGATATTATTAAATAGGTATATTTAATGGAGATAATTTATTAAGTATTTTTGTGCAATATTCATACAATAACCTAATGCAAACCAAAATACTTATTTTAAAGTTTAACAACGACAACGATAAATATTAAGTAATATATTATTTTATATTTTTTCGAATAAAACTTATGCATGATATATTATAATTTTAATAATATTGTTTTAATTTAAAACATATTTTTAACCAAAAGGTAAATACCTAATTTAATTCCTCGTTTTACTTAATAATTAGTTTATTTATAACACATTAGTCATTAGTCATTATTCGTTAAAAACTATAAATATTATTTTATATCAACTAAAATAACTTTTTTTTTCAGAATATTGAGAAAGTAACTATTACATAGCAACAGAATATCCTCGATTTCTTGACGTATCAGTACTGTTTTATACTCTTATTAACTATCGAAAACCAAACAGATCGCTCTTTATAATGAAGAGAATTCCTCAAAGTGAAACTGATATTTTATAAATGAAATATATAAGTATATAGGTAGTATATAATATAAATGTATATAATGTAAGTAAGTATACCAGTTGATTTCAGCTATTAATTATTATCGAGGAATTAAAAATTATTTTATTTTGAGGATCAAATAACAAGTGAATATAATATGATAAATTATGGTATAGTTAATACTATAGTAAAAAATATGTAAGCCGTAAATAATTCTAAGAACGAAAACAAAAAACAACAATAGATAATAAATAATAATAATATATCAGTTATTGTCTATAGTATATAGTACCGTGTAACCGTGTAAGAAAAAAAATGAATTCGATTTGTATCAATCCAATTTTTTATTTGAAAATTGTTCGTACATGTTTTTCCTTTTCGTCCAAGAATAGTTGGCATATAATAATGTATTATAGTGTTGATATTTTATAGCCTAATTAAGGACGGGAGCATTAATTAATGATCGTGTTACTTCCAATGGTCAACATAAAGGGGATTATTATATCTGCACCCTACTTTGTTCCCATCGAAACCAGTTCTGGACACTGGGTATCCTTCTCCCTCGTCGAGTATTTAATTAAGAGTGCTAAACTGGTTAATTGTCTTTTGTTCGCCGTGCATTATAGGCATATACCGATGTTTGTTTAGCGGCTAAGGGAATAAGGGATGGATATTCGTCCATCACAACCCCAACTATGTTTATGTTAATTAGCTTATAGCCTTTACTATGCGTATGGAACTTGATCTCATCATACGCATACCTATACAAAATAATTTTTTAGAAGAGAAAAAACATAAATATAGATAACTCTTGTAATAACACTTCTTCTCCTTAGAATAAATTGTAAAATATTTCAGTGTTCAAGTGTTGCCAAGAAAACAGAGTACCTAGTCATAGTTTTGAAAAACAAAATGTCTTCACTGTAGAACTGATGTGATTAATGTTTGAAAAACTAAACTGAAACATTTAAAAACATTAAACATTATGTATAGTTTATGTCAATGAGAAAAAGGTATTATTTTTGTTTAAACCATGTTTTGTATCTGTTGTTCATGTCTCATTTTTATTTTTTACTTCATTTTCATTTTACACAACTTTTTGGACTCCAAAGTATTAAGTGTTTTCAAAACATCGTTTTATTTTTTATAGGCTAGCATAATATAGGTACCTAAGGAAAGATGTATTATTGAATAAAATGTACCTTATTTTGTATTCATGTTTAAATTACCAATGTCAGTACTTATATTATATCCTCACAAGTCACGATATAATGACTATAGATTTACTTCCATTATATTATATATATTATATAGGTACCTGTACATACTGCGTCCTGCATACTATTTACTTATTAGTTATTGTAGATTATATTATAATAGTTATCACTTATCACTCAAATCATTCGTATAGTCACATTTCTACAGTGTATAATAATATACGTTTACTGATTCGAAATTTATCATTATTTATTTTTTAAACCGTTATTAAGTTTTAAACCGTTTTTTAAGAGACTTCTACAATGTAATACATATTACATACCTTCTTCATGTTTATTATTCCATTGTATAATAATTACCTACATATATACGCAGATAAAATGTAACTGTACAGTTTTGACGTGTCAAATTTACGTTCTTACAGATGTGACAAACGAAAATTTTTCATCACGTTCGTATAATGTCATAACGTAATAGTAAATAGTGTATAATAACTATAACAATAACTAAGAAATAATAACTAAGAAACGTCTACAATATTCGACGGACGACGGTTCGTAAAATAATTTTCACATCGTAATGATCTGATCTGCATTAAATGGAACCGGCCAATAATTTTTGGGCGTATGATTTCGTATGTAATAGTTGAAATGGTCGTTATCCTCTACTTACTATTTTTAAAAGAAAGCGACTGCAAATCTGTAGGAGTCTCTGCGTTAACCAAGTAATAATCTGAAATAAAACTAAACAAAATAGTCATTAATTTGGACTGCATTACTGCTGCAGCGTTTCACTATAATACTGCTGCATACAATGCAATATGCATTATTATGTGTTATGGTTTGTGAGTAATAATAGTACCACAATAGGCACCTATAACTATAGCAGTTTATGATATTTTGTATATTAAAATATATACTACCTATATAATATATATTATATATATAGGTATATATTATAATATATTGATATTTGTCATTTGATATCAATGAGATACATTGGTCATTGGTACCACAGCTACAGTTTTACGCGCTGCAGACCGTACGACCACAACGACTGCAGTTTTTGAAAACCGCAAACGCGGAAAAAGGCGCGACCCTGTACAGTGTACGCTCACTCCGCGGGCCCCATCGGAACACTAGCTACCGTGTAACAAATATAATAACAATGCGTTTCAGAACGGCGGCGGCGATATAGTATAATATAGGTATTGTACAGTATAATAATAATAGCAACAATCACAATAATATTATAGTCGTGTGCAGGCCGCGAGACACGCGGAAATCCGATACGTCGCTGATAATCGGAACGGATTTCGCTGCGATCGATTTCGGCGATTTCTCGTACCTACCTCGAGCCAGTGCGAATGCCAATACGAGTACGATACATATACATATTATATACGTAATAATAACCATATCGGACTCGCCGAACACAAGCGGATAACATAGCGAATAAGACCGTCGCGAAAACATGACGTTCCCGGCCTGGCCGATCTGCACTCATCGCTATTTTTGTCTGCTCTTGATATCGGTGAGTATTTTAATAATAACAATTGTAAAATCTGTGATGTATTGCTGTAAAACATTCCTGGGTATACTTGACTTTTTAAGTGGGATCTGGGTATGTGATTATGGTAAAAATCGCTTATCATTCAGTCAAAAAAAAATCTCTTGCAGCCCTCATAATATTATCGCTATCAGATACAATTATTAGGTACTAACTTAATACTTATGAACATGGAATTTTGTAGTTTTGTCGATATTCATTGTATAGTACTTGTTCAAACAAAAATCATGAAAACTCAATAAAAGACATGAAAGGAAGGAAGCCACACATTGAAGACACTTTCTATTTTTGGAAACTTGAATTCAGAAAAATTAAATCATATCTATAATTAATATATGGTCATAATATGGTATAGGTATCCACAAACGGGATGAGGTGAATAAATGATCATCGGTTCTCAAAATGTTTTTTGATAATCTCCTGATAACTACTAAATAGTATACTTATAGGTAAATAGTATCTGAGAATTTAAAATTACAAATAATTAAAGTATATTTGGTTTTCACCTCTGAAAATTATAAGGTACACTGGTACACGCGAGGCCATTCGGTCTAATAAACCCGTGTATCATCGTACATTTAGAAAAGTGGTCGGCATCCCGCGGCCGCGTTATGTTGCCCTCGTAATAGTAATTTTAAAGGCTGGGCAATTTAATGATTTTTTTTAACTCAGTTAAATTAAGTTAATATGCACCAATAACAAAAAGTTAACAGTTAAAAGTTAATTTAACTACATGTTAACTCAGTTAAGTTAAAAGTTAATACATATTTTTTGTTAACTTTTTATTAAGTTAAAAAAAAGTTAATTTGTTTATACAACGCTAGAGTATATAATTTTTTTCCAACCCAAAACAAAATTATAAGCTTATAATGTTCTAGCTTATACTTTATACAGTATTTCCATATAAGTTAGATTTGAATGATATAAATTTTTTACTTTAAACAGTTCACGGTAAATATTTTTTGACATGAAAACAAAATAGACTGAAATAATAAAATATAATAAAATTAGAAACAAAATAAATTGTTTTAAATTATTTTTTTTCGTTTGCAGACGTGTTATTATTATGGCATCACTACGGCCATTACAGTGGTGGACCACGTGTCCAAGGATCGATACGCAGCAGGAGGTAAACACTGCAGTGACCAACGACAATAATAATATTATATTATACAAATCAATATCAAATTATAATAACTGTGCATAACACGGCAAAATGTATTATTGTTAACAGCTGGCAGCGATAGGGACACCGTTGACGACTCGCGCTTGCGAGAGAAAGTGGAAGACGAGGACGCGGAAAACAAGCATTTCATGTAAGCAGCCGCACTGATTCATAATTTCATATATAATATAGGTATACCTATTTATTTCGAATTAACATGTCGGAAGTCCCGCGATACGAAATGGCGTATTGGTGCAGTTATTGCTATAAAATAAAAGTGAAACAGAGGCTGAGGAAATGCAAACCCCCTTTAGCTTACGTAAGACGACTATTTTACCTACGTAACGATCTGCAAACGCCAAAATAATGTTATAATATACTTTATTTTCATGCTAGGATCTCGGGTTACATTTTCATGGCTTCACTATAATCTTGTCAGCCAATTTTTAGTGTTATTGAAAAGATAGATGGCACATATATAATATAATTTGAAGTATTTATAATAAGTATAAACGACATTTTTACAAAAAAATTAGTGTAAAATCTATCACTGTGTGTGTGTCAATAGAGAACATAAAATGTAAAATTTTAGTAAAATACATAGAATATTGATATTTAGAGTGCCGTTAAATCGATTATTTCTTTTAATTTCTATTGCGTTTTAGGGACGTTTATTCGTTGCAAAGCGGACCTCAACAATTGGAATTTGGGCACGTGTTCGAGGATCCAAACGTCTGGGAACAGAGATACGAGAAAAAGGATTTCGATGCCCAACGGTATCAAGGAAAGGTAAGTTCAGAATTATTAAATAATAAAAAAAAGTGTTGATAACCGGAGAGTAACGTAAGATACTCAAAAACTATTATATTTTTTGAAAATATTTCTTTACGTAATTTTAATTTATTATCTGCTTCGGAAAATGAAATTCAAATTGTATGACGTTCACTCTCTAAGTTGTCATTTAAAAGAGTAAAAACTTAAAATAATATAACGACAAAAAGTAGAATTTATTTTTCAGAAAATCTAGTTTTGTAATGACATAAAATAATGTAAATAAATACCTATATTCAAAAACGTGTTTTTTGAATTAGTGAGTGTCTTACGATAAATGTATCATTCCGTATACACGTAATTCGTAAAACGTTCAACATGCGTTATAATTTAACAGGTGAAATGGGGTGACAAAGACGGCAGTTACGGTGAACAGTATTGGGATTTAAACCACGGCGGCGCTGGATCTAACGAAAACGTGAGATTATGAAATAATTAGTTGTTTTTTTTTCAAATATTGTTAAAAATATAGCAACAGGTGTGTAATTTGTATTATTTGTTTAGGAAAAAAACGAACCATACGAAGAACCTACTCCGATAGAATACGGACAGGTAAAATCCATCATAATAAATAAATACATAGGTACATAAGTTTAATTTATGCATTTATCTTAAATTTTAATGTAACACAATAACATACTACCGGACATATTTTATTTATTTATTTAATTTCACGGTTCACAAATTAAAGGATTCGTTATATTATTATTATTATTTTAACGTATATCAGAATTCAGAGGTCACTAATTAATGGCGGTCCGTGGACCCGCATGTCATCAATAAAATATGTGTTTTTTAATTAATTATTTTTGATTTTGAATGAAATAAGTTTTCGTTTTATATTTTGATTTTGTTTTTACTATCTTTTGATAAACACGTGAATTACATTTTGATAGCCATAGAAAACTTCTTAAGTTTGGCAGTTGCCCTCTAAAAATATTAATTAGCAATACCTGTTCATAATATAATAAAATATATATATTAAATTTAGGAGAGCCGTCAGAGACCCGTGATTTATAAGCCAATGATGATGACACTCCTTAAGAATAAACCCAAGAAACCCGTTAAAGCTGTACGGAACTATCCAAAGCGATTAGTAGAACCACCAGCATCACCGACAACTATAGGAAGCTCCACTAAAAAAACCGCTCCTGTTTTAGTTTTCGACATGAAGACTGGAGTGGTCATGGACGAAGCCACAGGGAATAAATTCATTTTGAAACCGATAAAAGATTAAGAATTGATTAATTCTTAAATATTGTTTAATTGTATACATTTACAATTATTAAAACCTGAAGTACTGAAGTATCTATATGGGTTATTAAATTACAATACTATATAGTAAACTTAATTTTTAGATTCTGAGTGGAACGATGAATGTATTCATTTTACAATGATGTGTGTTTTGTTATTTTTTTATTAAAATTATGTTATACTTCAAATATTATAATGTAATTTTGCTACACCAGTTGTCTTTATACACAATTAACTAGCCCTTTTTTAATGTACCAATTATCGATTTGTTTGATTAAACTTTTAAATTACCATTATTTTAAACAATTTATTTTAAAGATTCATGCTTCAGAGTTCATTAAACAGATAAAATGTAGACAAGTTTGAGAAAAACAAATATTAGATAAGTAAAGTAAGTAGGAATAATTTTCCGGCAGTAAGTCATATGCAATTAAACTAAAAACGATTTGTAAAAGTTTTCTCTTTTTTTTAACAATCACTCAAATTTTGAATAACAAAATAAACAAATAACATTGTATTATTAGTTATTTTACATAACGTAAATTGGTGAAAGGTATTTTTTAATTATAAGAAAACCTAATTATCAAATAATTGGTATTGATTTCTAAGTTGAGAACTAAAACAATTTAGAGCTAAATTATTCGTTTTTTAAACAACCGCAATAAGGATGCTTCTTAAGTAGGTTTGCATAAAAATCAACATATAATATTATAGGCATTATTATTATTTCTCAATACAATTTATAGTATCACTGTATTAAAATACATAATTTGTTGTATAATAATATATCGTTTATCCACCATAAATATACTATAATCGTTTCTTCACATTTTATCAATACGAAAATTGAATGAATAGCCACGTTCGATTATTGACTAGTATGCAAAATGTGAAAATTTACCAGTAAGAAAATCGGTAAATATACATTACTTATAAATTTATAATATACATACATTTATACACATAATATACGTATTATGTATATATATATTGTATATACATATAACTAATTATAAATGAAAAATTGCTTTTTTGTCAACTTATATTTTTATAATGCACTAGCTATAGTGCATTCAGTGGTTGTGAAAATTTACCAGAAAGAAAATATGTAGGTAAATATACTTTTTAATATATTTTAAATATATATAAATTTATAATATAAATACATTTATACACACATATATATAGGTATATATATAAAATTATAAATGAAAAATTGCTTTTTTTGTTAACTCACATTTTTATAATGCATTATAATGCATTCAGTGGTTCGAAAATATTGACAGCCAGTAGAAAAATAACCGATTGAGTTATAATGATTTATATTTATACATTATATAGGTACCTAGGTGTAAGAAAATTATGACGATAACAATGATGAAAGTGTGTAGTGCAACATATTATATTATTATAAATATAATATAATATTTAGAACCTGCAGAAGACCTGGTCCATTACATAAACATCTGTCAAAAGCAGAGAAGGTATTGATTGGTATTTTGTAACGACTATTATATTATATTGTTATTATATCGGCCGTCTATGTGGTTATGACGTTATAAGTGACATTGTTCATTCGTTCATAATAATTTAGTTGCACATAATAAGTGCAATACAGATAATGATGGGCCCTGGTCGTTTTATTTTATAGAACCCTATTTGATATGGTTGACACTTAAAAAAAATATAGGCACCTAATTAATGTTGTATCGGGCAGCCCATGCTCTCCGTTTAGATTGACTCTCTTTTCCCACGGTGAAAATAAAAGTTACTTTCACTGAAAATTTGAATTTACTTTGTACTAATGTGATTAATTCAGATCCGATAATCCGCATCCGCAAAGAATAATAAAATATATTATTGTATTACAATATCATATGGCTCAAAAATCAATTACTCTGTATTTCTGTAAGTCATAAAATAGGTACCTACAGGTATATGTATACAATGTAAATTATATTTTATATGGTTACAATGTAAAATGTATAGGCTTATATATACTCGAATCAATTAACATGAAACTAGAAAATAATATGCCGGTAAAGAAATAATATGGATAAGATTTTTTTTATATATTTATTACTTATAGGTTCTACGACTTCAGTGGGGGATTATATTATTAACAATTGTTATAGGTAATGGTTTAATAGTTAAAAAAGAAAATCGGACGAAATTTAATTTTCGTTCTGAACGTGAACAATAATACACATACTACTTTAATACTTATATAGAATAATTATAATTCGAATTGGGTAACAAACATAATTTCGTATGAAATGAATGCTAAAATTTTTTTTATGTAGGTATACACAACAATAATATTATTGTTTTACACTATTCATCATTTTAATAATTAGACCAGAAAGATAACAATGATCATTAATTGACACTATATAGTCAGCATAAGTTTTTAATCTAGATGTATAACCAAAGCAACTATGTAGATTCTAGCATTTCTAGGTATAGTACTATAGTAGGTAATGCCTTGATCAGTTAGATCATAATATATACTAGTTTATTATATTATTATGATCTAAGAGTAGGAGTTACAGGAGACTACACATTATGGGGCTGATGTGCAAATCTTAATTTGGGGTCTAAATATACATATGTAAAATGTAAATAAATTATTATATTAAGCTATCTAAACAAAAAAACAAAAAAATTAAATTGTATAATTTATTGTTATAAAAATAGTAGGTACCTATATTATCATAGGTATTATGGTATAATTTCAACCCATTTCTAAATTATCTAACAAAATGGTTTTTTCTTCGCTTATGAGTTTGAAAAGTTGTCAATGACTTTCTCTACATCTATCTAAGAAGTTCTCCTATCTATGTTCAGTATGGAAATGCCGTTGAGACGTTCTTCACTAATATAATTGAGCAAAAATTGTTTGATTAATCTGAGTTTAATTTGATTACGATAAATTATAAATATTTATTGATATGAACAAATTCGTTTTTTTTTATTCTTCATTTTACTTCAATTTTCTTCAGCCACAGCTTTACAATTAATTTTAACACATAGATTTGGAAGCTTTGGAGGCCGATTTTCAATGCACACCTTGCACAACCGGTAGTTGCGGCACTGACTCGGCACAAGCTCCGAGTTTAGGACCTATACCTTTCATGTTATTGCTACGTAGTTACGCGTTTTTTTTGTAAATTGTTATCATTTGTCGATCCATGTGCCTCAGACTATAAAATTATTACAACATTCAAAGTCATGTAAACAATATCAATAAGTTAAATTTTATACGTAGGTACTAAAACTAACAGTTATTAAACATTGATAAATTATTTTTGAGTTGGTAATGATAGTGTTACAATATTATTTTTGTTATAATTCCTATGTAAGATGTATCTGCGTTGAACAATACCTAATATTTTAATATTATTAATTAATAATCAATAAATAATACCAATAGATACCTATTGGTACTGACTCACAAATACTAAAAATTGTACACCTACCACATTTATGAATGTTTGATTCAGGACGAAGCTAAGATTACCAAAATATGATCAACGTAAATTACACATGACGTGCTAAACATTTCACGGGTTTTTCCAGAGGAATGTGAACTGTATTTTTAAGAAAATATCTGGACAATAGATGCATGCAAATATTTGATGTTGGATTGTCATCATGCTTTGCTCTTCCATGGTATCAGGATAGTGATGTATTATATCATTACCTATAAATATTTGAATACAATTATAAATCTTCGCATACAATCAAATTATTTTAGTAGAAATTAGTTTCTATAGAATTTGCTGTTTACAGGACTACAAAAAATTATTGTTTTACATATTACAGAAAAATAATTATTTATTTAATATTTTAAACTTATGGATGGAACATGATTATGGATGTAATAGGTATTAAGTGAGTTTATATTTAAATTTTAAAAACTATAAGTTAATTAATAAATTAATTTTTAAAAAATCTAAAAAATCGTAATTATCATGAGATATTTTGCTCGATACCAAGATAAAAAATTTAATAATACATTTCACAGCCACAGCTCAACGATTGTGTATTAATTGAAATTATTTCGTTATAAGTGTAATAATATGGTGTAGGTATTAGTGTATTATATATATACCTACCTTAGTAATTTTAATAAAAAATTGTCGTTGTTATCATGTATAATCGTCCATCTATGATGTAATGATGTATTTGAAACTAATCTATATGTAATACATTTAAAATTAAATGAACTTTATCGATTAACTTTGAGTTAACAACACACACGCAATCGTTGTTACTGTCTACTGAATAAATCCTATATAGGTAGATCAGAGTCTTTGTGCTAACAATATACGATTTGACATTTAAATTGGTAGTTTTGTAAGAGCTAGGCGGGAACATTATAATTGTAAAATAATATCATTTCTTTCATGATAAAATACAATAACAAATAAATATATTTCTTTTGAAACGTAATAGGTGGAGGGGAATAGGAGAAACCAGCCTAGACGGTTCTAATGTCAACCATAGTAAAAAGTCAATCTGTACGTTGTAGACACACGTCGAAGCAACTGAATAATAGTGATCTACTCCAACAAAATTATTTATACCACCTATGTTTTTTAATAATAATATAGTAATATTGTTTGAACAATTTTTATCTTATTTAACTCAGTGTTTAGTTTTAAATTTTAATCACCTTTGACAATGCAGTTTTTATATTATTGTTTGGTAAGTAAATTTATTCTTTTTCCAAAGTTAAATGAATTTTTGTAGTACAAAATAATACTGGCCATATTATTAGTATACGTAGTTTGTGTATGGTATGTAAATGTTTTATAGTATTTTAGTATATATATATGTTTCTAATATATCCATATGAAAAAGTTTATGTCTTTCATTTTTTAATACTGTAAAAATAGACATGAGTACAATATAATATATTGTTTCTGTATTATAATTCCTAATTCCTACAAACTATAACATCAAACTGGGATGATTTACTAAATTGACTCTTTAAAATGCTAGGGTTCAACATTTCTATTATATAAAATACAGAATAATTGGTATTTACCTAATAATATAGTAAATATAACTTATTATATTTATAATGTAGTTTACCATAGTTTATAATAACCTTATATACTAAGGTTTATGGGTTGATAACACTCACTATTGACAAAGCATCGAATAAATTTAATTTCAAGAGAATTTCGATTTAAAATTGAATAATTTATATAGGTACTCATAATATTATTTTTAAAGTTCTATAGGTATTAAATGTTAAGTACAATTTTTATTATTTTAATAAACTCGGAAAAATCCATTATGTCCTTAACAATTATTCAGCTTTATTTCAACATATTTTAGGTTAAAAAAAATACGTTGTTACACATAATAATTATATGATTGATTAAATTATAACAAAAAGTACTATTTTATTTTTATTTTAAAACACCTATATAGTACCTATTTATTTCATCTGATATCGAAATTAAACTTAAATATTAGTTAATTGTCAACATGACATGGACAAAAAGTTGTATCGATGTGATTTGAAAATTAAATATCAATGTAATACACTTGTGTGAAAATATTGTTTAAATATTATTTCAGACGAGAATGAAAAAAAACTGTACTTTGATATTAGTGTGTATGAATTTATTATCGTCATTAAACTCTCTAAATGCCAATCCCTATTATATACTACTAGAATTATTTTGTTTTTATAAAGTTATAATTATTTTTAATTTCATCCGTTACTATATTAGATAGATCGTGTGGATTCAACTAAATTTCGAGGGTTGGTTGTATCTTACTCTGCAGTTGTTTACAATTTACATATAAAAATTCAAACCTAATACTTAGTTATAATATAAGGGTACATAAGATGTAACATTCACGAATTTGGAGGTGATTTCAAACTCGTCTAATATTGTCCTTCCCCATTCCATACACGATACAGTGTAGGTACAACTGGTACATAATATTATATGTTATATATTTGTTCACACCAGATAATATGATATATATATATATATATATTATAAATCCGTTGTTTTTTTTTGTCATTTTGTCACATTGATGGCACTTTCCCTCGTGTATCGGCCCAATATTAGTGACGGTTTCCAGTTGAAAAGAACACGGCGGGGACATGTAGGGAAAAACGCACTAGGTAATCAACGGACAATAAAGAAAAGTAACATAATGTTATATGTTTTCTTGGCCTCATTTTCTTTTTGGTCTGCTCGGGCATGTGGATACTGTTGCGCAATCAAAAACAAAACGAAAACATATAATAATATAAATCACAAAAAATCACAAAAAAACACATTAACAATAACGCTGGTCGCGTTGATCTCATAAGGTACTCGCCGTTGTTCAGATGTCATGTTTAATGAAAATCAAACGCATGTATACTTTTACAGGTGTTCCTCTCGACCGTATCCGTCGCGGTATTATTCGAAGTCAAAAAGATATACGTCATCGAACGCGATTTCAAGACAGGTATAACTAAACACATTATATTTTTTTTTTATTGTACATAATCATTATCTCTGTGTGTCATAGGTAATGACATAATAAGTACATTATAATATATTATTATAATTTATAATTCAATATTGCTAGTAATATTAATATGATCCATATAGGTACAGCCTGCAAGCTGCAACTTGCAGGGTATATTCAAATAGTATTTTATTGCAATATAGTAGATCAATATAGGAGTCAGAGGCGTACCCAGGATTTTTTTATGGGGGGTCCAACATTTTTATTTTATCTATTCTCTAATTATAATTATAGTTTAATTCATTACCAAAATATTACTGTTAATAACTATAATATAGTTACAATAGTCAATAGTTATACACACACTCACAGTACATATACAGAAAGGTTTATAACAATAGATAGGTATTATAATTTGTAAATGTAAATGTAGATATCTCAATGGGGGGGTCCGGACCCGACCCCCCCCCTTGGGTACGCCCCTGATGGGAGTTATACGAAATGCGTACCTATTGGTATATTTACCTACCTAAGTGTTATCGAGGACACAAACTTTGGATTATGTTTGTTATTTAATGACCTGCAGACTTTAGTATAATATTATGTTGATCGTTGAAAAGTATTTTCACATAGGATATGAATATTATGTTAAATGTTGGATAAAAAAAACAACGAACCTATATTTTAAGTTTTAAATGCACCGATTAACTTTAATCAATATAAATTATATATATATACAACGATTGACGGTTAAATCAATGTATAAAATATTTCAAAAAAATCTCGTACTTACGTTATTTTACCTGTACGCAAACCATAAGCCCCAGAAGCTATAAAACTCAGTCGAATACAATGACCGTCTGCACAATATAGCTGTTCGGACGAGCAATAAAATCTGACGGTTCATGTTTATGGGGTAGTCAAAATATCGTGTTTTATAATAAAATTTCCGGTTATTATTGCGTATACTGCAGGACTGGATTTAATGTAACGGCCGTGGCTGTTTTCGCAACGTCAAATATCGTATACATAATAAACTATGTAAGTCGTACGTATGTACAGGCACGAATTCGCGAATTGTGTTATGCCCATCTCTTCGAATATAATATATAGCGCACGTTCTGTGATTTATTGTATATACACAATTATACTCGTAATATTACAATATAAAGATGTTTGTATATTGCAAGCTATGATAATATCGTTTCTCGATGGTATAATATATAGACGGTATATATATATATATATAGGTGCATTATTTTTATACTGCAACTATTGTAATAATAAGTAATATCCGATCAAAATATATACTATCTTAGGTTGCGGTGTTTCAGAGTTGCGGTCTAAGTAAAAAAATATGTAGGTATACTACCAAGTTGCGGTCACCCAATTTCGAGTCATACGAATGGCAGTCACTATATGTAGAACCCAAGTGTTGAAACGACCTAGGTTGTAAAGTAAATCCCTGAAATAATATATTTTAACTTCCCACGTACGTATAAGTACCTAAGTACCTAACTAAATTAAGTTAAAAATTCAGTTTTGGGTTGACATCTTGATGACTAAAATAGTAGGTATACAAATAAACTAAATAAATTGACATTAAATAAAAATTAAATTACCTAATAAAGAATATTAAAATTCTATGAGTACAATTTATTAATATAATATGATAGGTGTCGATGTCGACTTCACCCATACCTACTCGTAAATTCTACCGGTTTCACAGTCTTCATATTTTTGAAATTGTTGTACTAAAAAATTTTGTTTGTCTGTCGAAGTCTTTTTATACCACAAGCACGTGAACTGATAATTTAAAAATATTTGCTAACTTAGACTTTATATATGCGACTTCAAGAACTGTTTAGGTATTCGGATAAGAGTGGTAAAAACTAGAATGTGCTGTTAAGCTTAAACTTTAAAGTGAAAACGTTCATAAGCCGGTCGTTCATATAATAGAATAATCAGCCATAGTACCTATAGTGATCGCAATCATATCACAATATTATGTTTACTGAATTTGGGCATCTAGTCTTAAGAGGCATAAAGGCAGATGTTTGTCTAACATTGTCCATATCTAAACACAAGCACGACGTACCATATGGCACTTTAGAATGTTTTCTATTTCCAACGTACCAATTGATCTAGTAAAACAACACAAATTCTGAAAACATATTTGAACTTTTCATCAAGTCTACTTGAGAGTTGAGATCGACTTCTTCAAATGTTCGATTTTATTCTCTTAGACCCTATAGAAAACGTTGTATTAAAAAGTAGGTATTAAAATTTTAGGAGAAAAGGGTTCAAAATGTGGGAAAGTCAATCATAAGTAGACTTTACGAAAAATCTACTATACCTACTATAAAGTTTTTTCCTTCTTAATTGTATCATTGTCCACTCTCGGATCTTACTAACATGGTTTTGTACTTCTTTTACTCATTCCTTCTACTAATTTTTATTTTAGAAAGTTGAGTACCAATATTGGATTGTTTTTTTTCACACGTGCAACATAGGTAGTAAAAACTACCTACTATCATTTCGCGTCATGTGTAGTGAAACGATTAAAATTATAAAAATAGATTTGGATAACTACAAAGTGAGGTGTGCCCGTGATATCGACGAGACCACTTTTTTCAATTTAATTTTTAATTAATAAATTATATTTTTGACAATATTGTCAAACTTTCAAATGAAATTTTTGGAAATTAAGGAGTGAAATCAAACATGTGGCTTGGATCAGATCGATCATCAGATGTACACTATTCATGTTGAATTCAAATCTTTTATTATAATATTTATATATTAAATCACTAAATCGATCTGAAAAAAAAACATAGCAAAATGGGTGTTTTTACTATGTTGCACGTGTAAAAGACAACAGAGACAAACACAAAATATACGAAATTCGGGTACTCAATGCCTTTATTTTTTTCGTGATAACTAGAATTAAAATAATATACACATACGCCGTTAATATAAATTCAATAATTACCGTTATTACACTTGACGTACGTTGACAGGTCTGTTGAGAGCTCGCCGCCAAAACGTACCGGTGCAGTCACACACCGTAGCCCGGATCGGAGGGCTGCAGGACCATCACCATCACAATATGTTCACGGCGGCCGCTGTGTCACCGCCGCCACTGCAATCAGTGCAGACGGGTGGCCAGCTGCAACAGCCGACGGACTTGGCGTCCACGGTAGACCTGACGGCAGACAACCGGGAGCCTATCGATTATCTGACGCCACCGCCAAGCGCCGACTTTCAGTTCCAGCAGCAAAGCTTTCCGGCCGGTGATTCGACGACACAGAACCGGCCGGAGTCACACGTCCAAAACGTACAGGCGCCGCCGCCACCACCGCTCGTACCATTGACCGCACAGTCGGCGCCCGTGGCAGTGCACACGTCGCCGTTCACACCCAGCGGAGGAGCCGGTGGCGGCGGCGGTTTTCCCTCGGCCCAGGCACAACCACCACCTTCACACGGGACATCACTCAGTTCGCTCGCGGTGCAGACATCCTCACCTAGTAACCAAGTGCATAGCCTGACGTTCGCTAACCCACCACTGGAACAGTTCACTCCATACACGCCGTCGCTGCAGGTGAATAACGATCCCACGGCCAACCAGCAGCAGCAGCAGCAGCAAAACGGCGGTCGCTGGGAACTGGGATTCGATGCTAGCGAGATACTCACGCCCCCATTCTTGGGTGGCCCGGAACAGCCATCCAGCGGCAGTGGTCAGACATTCTTCCAGCAAGATTTTGGCCAAGAGACAGCGAGTTCGGTACGCAACAACAAACAGTACCCTGCGAACAGTGGCGGATCTCTGTTCTTCGGTGGAGGTGGAAGTGGCGGAGGAGGTGGTTTTGATGTCTCCTCTGCGACCAACACTAAGTTCACGCCACTGGACGCCGTCATACGGCCGTCGTCGTCCAACAAAAATGTGTACTGGGGTACGCCGAAGACCGCTCAACAACAGCCGCTCAGGCCGCCACCCTCGTTCGCCGAACCAAATGCCTTCCGGTTCAACAACAACAACAACAACCATTTTCACCAACTGCACAATAACAATCATAACCCACACCATCACCACCAGTACGTGGACGCGTTCCAGATGCCGTTCACGGGCCAGTTTGACGGGCCGTTGTCACAGGGCACAGTCGCCGATCACGTGGTGCACAGTTCTTTCAGGATCAAACGACAGCTCCGAGACGCGGGACTCCCGCCGCCGGAAGCGCGATCGGACTCGGCCGACCGCCGTGGTGACGACGATCGCTTCGGTGACCGGAAACCCGTTTACAGTTTCGTCAAGACGGACAGAAACGGAAATTTCAAATGGAGCGTCAGACACGGTTACTAACACAGTAATACTCATATAATATATAGGCCACCACCGCCACGCCCGCTCAATCGTTACGATTACCTACCTATATTATATAATATTATAATGTCATATATTAAACACAACGCGTTCCGTGTAATTATTTTGTATTAAACGTATTTAAAATGAAAACAAAAACAATTTTCACATTAAAATAATGAAAAAAATACTTGCGATTCACATAATATTATACTTCTGTTGCGCGTCAGTGTAACAACTACTAACAAGCTGCAGTGTTGGAAAAGTTCCTTTTAAAAAGGAGCTTGTTCCCGTTTCTCGTTCCTGTTGTAAAAAAGGAACTCGTCCCCGTCCCTTGTTCCTGTTGCAAAAAAGGAACGCGTTCCCGTTCCTTTACATTTTTTTTACGATCTGAGCTGTTGTTAATGGTGTTTTTTGCGGACCTTTAAACCAGAAATAATCAACTAATTTTTATATTTATTATAATAAAACTATAAAAGTAAATTTTTTCTTTCAAAACTAACAGATAGGAGACAGATAGGAACAGGAGGCTCTATAAGGAGCACCGATTTTTAACAAAAATGATTTGGTTTGTTTGTTGGAATTCGAAAAATTGTATAGCGCAGACTTGAAATTTTCATCGAATAATAATGGTTAGATCTATATTTACTAGTGAGTAATGACTGAGAAATGATACCAAATTACCAAAACTAAATATATTCTAGAAAATATTATTATTAAAAATAACTTACATTTTTTTTTTTCATAATTTTTGGACCGGAAATATTTATTCAAGTTTCTTAAAAATATGAACTCTTTCCTGTTCCTCGTTCCAAGCTTCGTTTTTTATAAAAGGAACACGTTCCTTCCCAACACTGCTAACAAGTATAACAATAACAGAGCAAGCGTGTATGTAACTATGTAAGTACCTATTTAAGGGGCAATATTTAGGCAATTTTCAATCTAATCTTAGATCTTAGTCCAGGATCTATGTGTTGTGTGACTGAAATTCAATCACTCATGTACGCGCATGCACATGTCAATAACCCAATAACAATATAAAATTCACTATACGAATTTTACAACTTATAATTATTATTTTGACAAAATTAAAGTTGGTTAACGTTGTCTGATTTTGATTCTCAACAAATATTTGAATTTAGCAGAAAAATTTCTGTATTTCGTAGTAAACAGATTCCGTTTTTAATTTTAGTCTTAATTACGATTCGAAAAAAACTTATATTTTCAAGTTTTAAATTATAATAATAATAATAAATAATAATTAATAATTACAGTTCATAATAATATGATATTTAATTTTTACCAAGTGTTCAGTACGATCTATAGACAATAAAAATCGGACAACGTAAACTAACTTTAATTTTTTCAGAGCTTAAGGTCTTTAGAGCTAAAATTTACAGTAGTATACCGAAGCCCCTTAAATAAACATATAATATCATCTTTCATCGTGTATGAGAACATATATAAATAACGATGATTAATTTTCTGTCAATTAGAGCACAATGGGTAGGTAGGTACACTTGAAATGGCCATTTCGCCATTTCCGACCCGCAGTGCTGTAATTAAATATTAAATTAACATAAAATTATAATGTCAAGTCCTGCCCTCTGATGTTTGCAAATAATAAAATAAGTAACTTATTTTCAAATGAGATAGGTAAAGTCGATAAAGATAGTTTTGTGTAAGAGACCAACGACTTTTTGTTGTTCTTACAGGGATTTTAATAATTTAACTGGTACATTACCGAGTAGGAAATTCCCACCTGTTTGCCAAAAGTGAAAGAAAATAATTTTGAATAATATGAGTTTTGCAATTTCTTCATAATTTTATATTTTATTTTATTTTGTAGCCCTTAAAATAGGGAAGTAGATTGAAATTTCTCAATTTGAAATATTATTACGTACTATTACATACTTATTGAATATTTGTATTCGTTATTGCAATATTGCATAGCGTCAACGTTTTTGATAAGTACCTATACCCATATAGAATAGATTTCGTGAACGACCCATATACCTACTTCATTGTTTAACACAGTATATTATTATAGGTAGCTTATTGAAATTGGAAAAAAAATAGAGTTAAGCACCGACCAGAACCATTTGTTATAAGTCATTATACGTCCTGTATAAAGAGCTTTTCATTGGCGTGTGAGGTGTTTACGATAGGTACAGGTACCTATCTAAGTGATTTATTGACTCGTGTAGTCGTGTGTATGTGTGTATACTTTGTGAAAGTAGATAGGTGAATCGCGAGAAGGCGACAGAAGTCTTTACACGCATGATATCATATCGACACATTAAAATAAAATGTGTGATAATTTTAAATGTAATCGTAGACCAAGTTTAATAGGTAGGTGTATGAATGCAAATTATTGTATTTTGTATAATATTATTAAATTACTCGAGTAAGTGTAAATTAAATTACATTCGTACGAGTTTTTTTAAGATGATTCCGCTGATTTAAAACCATTGGATTTGTCAGTAAAGAGTACATTGACGTCATGTCAAGTCAAGTCAAAAAAACCATACAAATTATTTTGCGAGGTTTGCGCGAAGGGTTTTGACAGACCGTCGCTTTTAAAAAGGCACGTAAGAACCCACACAGGTGAGACGATATAATACTATAGTATACTAAGTGTGATTTTTTTTACAGAGAATAACTATTAGATTTATACATTACAAACATAAGTAAGAGCTCATTAAATTTTAATCTTCTATTTTACGGCCATACGGGAGATTATTAAATATCAAGCTATAGAGACATTTTTGACACGTTCCTAAACACAACTGTTGAAACTTGTAATATACCTACCTACTTATTGGTTATTACTTATTAGTAATTAGCATAGACTTATTAACAGGTATAGGTCTGTGGTTATTAGGTACACCTATCTATCCGGTTCAACCCATTTTTTGGCTCGGTGTAGTTAGGTACGAAGGACGAGCTAGTGAACTCACTGACCGGTGTCACCATAGTTCCCTGATAGATGACCACCCGTGGGATTTTTAGTGACAAATCTTTGCCACACATACACACACGTGTTAAAAACCTACATGCAGTACCCTCCCCCACAGTACCCCAGGCTAATGACCTCAGTTGCTAAAGTCTAAACCCCTCCCCAAAAAAATGCATTTATTAGTTGTATCAGTCGTGTCAGCACGATAGCACATGAGCTATATTATGATGGAATTTAATATAAGCATTTCAAGAAAAAAACTTGTTTTGTTTTTCGTTATTTTAAATATCACGCGAGTAAAAATCTTTAGGAGTTTTTAGGGATCTTTTAATTTCTGGAGATATAAGTTGGCGTTGGGTTATAAAAAAACTAGTATTATTTTTTTTGGTTTTATATAAACATTCATAATTTAATATAATCTTAATAATATTTCGATATATAAATATATAATATGTATAAGTACTAGGTACTGTGTAATATTTATCATTATTTTGAAAACGATTTATTTTTTTCTGATAATATGTGATGTCTTAAACGATTTTAAATGGCAACGTTGAATCCAAAATGGGCTAACCTAACTCTCGGGGCGAAAATGGGCTACAACCTATCTACCTATACAAAACAGAATATTGACGGACGATGATAATTTAATTTGGAATTTTTTTTTTCTAAAAAATGTAGGTAGGTCTACCTATATCTAATATCTTGAAAAAAACATTCTCTGCGAATTTTGAAAACTGATAGAAACAATTGTCGAATTTCCGGATTATTCTAAAAGCATATTTTTCACGCCATCTGCTGCAGAGTTAGGTTAAACAAGTCTAATTGAATATAAATTTCGCGGAAGTAATGCGCAAGCAATTCCCGCGACGTCGTCGGTTCAAAAACGAAAAAAAAAAAAAAAAATTGAATATAAATTATAAATACAATAATAATACCCATACCTCTTACTTAGGTACTAACTGTTCCTGTCACACTTTTAAAATAAAGATCACCTCTGGGCTCTGACGAATGGCTGATTCTTTTACCACAATATCACAATATTATTAATTATTATAGTGATTCAAATGAATTATCATGTACCTAGCATGTACATGCGATATGGCTACCTACATATAATATTGATTATCGGTATACTTCCAACAAAAACTTGAAAACATTTCTGGACATCCTCGAAATGCAATTTAGAAAAAATATCGATGACCGTAAAAATAAGCCAAACTAATTGTGTAACACACATACCGTCCGAATTGTACAATCGAATTAATCGAGAAATCCATATTATATTTTTGCCACGACGTGGCTGTTTACAGGAGAACGTCCTCACGCTTGCGCCCAGTGCGACAAAGCGTTCTCCACGTCCAGCGCGTTGAACACCCACAAGCGCATACATAGCGGTGAGCGGCCACACGCTTGTCCAATTTGCGGCAAAACGTTTACGGCCAGTTCGAACCTGTACTACCACAGAATGACACATTCCAAAGTAAACGGATGGGTCAAACTATTAAAACTTTGAAGAGTACATTAATAACTAATAATAAGTATAATATAAAAACGTGCGTATAAAATTAGTATTAGGTATATTGTTGGATGTTGCAATACTATACCTAGGGTTTAACACTTTAACCGAGACGACAAAATAAAATAGAGACCAACTCAATTTGTAAGTTTAGAGCAAAGGCAATAAAACATATTACATTTTCTATTTTCACCAAAAAATAATACTACCTATATAATATATTATTACAGTAGAACTTCCATATAACGGTCACCGAAGGGACTTTAAACAATGACCGCTATTTAGAGGTGCCCGTCCTACAGAGGTAGGATAACACTAGGATAACACTCGAAGGGACTAAAAAAATTGACCGTTACATAGAGATGACCGTCCTATAGAGGTGTCCGTTAATGGAAGTTTTACTGTATATATTTGCAAATACAGTTTGTTGGATGTATACGTCGATCAACACGTCTTGCTTACACCTAAATAGACAAATATTGTAGAAAGCAGGAACAAAACAGAAAACCCATGTCCCTAATCCCTATATTATCACCCTCCCGCTTTTGAGCGGAGACGAAAATATCTCCAGAAACACGAACATTGTGTCGTCAGTTAGGATAATTATGTCACGGAAAAGCTGCTGTTTTGTCCACTTGATGTTAACCTGGCATATATGGTGTACCTACGTCCTACATGTTACAAAACAAAAACATCTAACCGTAACAATATCCAAAGAGAATATAAATAAAATATTATTTTTCATTTTAAATAATAAAGATATATCGTAGGTACATACTTTGTATTAAACATTTGAATAGAGGTAGGTACCTACATTATTTATTATCTCATCGGGTCTAAACAAATAAAATATAAAGCGTTATCGGCAGCACCAAAACAGCCTTGGCAACAGATTGATTTGAGCAACAAATAACAATCTAAGAACGAATTAATCAAAAAACTTTCACAGTTCATTAGTTTAGTGTTGTGTTTGTGTACTTATTAAGTAATTATAATATGCCCGTATACATAATCAATTTATGCGTCACACAACTCACAAGACATGTTAAACTATGTCTTATGTGACACACAATTACACAAATGTATTATGCATACGGACAAAAGACTTATACAGTCAAACTTGGTTAACTCAAAATTGTCAATACCTCAAACTTTTCCCACGATCCCTAGAATGAAAAAATTTCAATTTTAAATTGAAAACTTTTGTTTTTTATTTGCTTGGATAAGATGCATTTTTTTTGCTGGTCCCTTCAACTTTGAGCTAACCAATTTCAACAGTGTGTAGTTATATATTTTATCAGCTTAAGCTAAAATATTATTTCAATGAGATTTCTAATATTATATTATAATAGTTACATATGAATTATAGTTTATTACTTTATATAATCAATATTATAGATGAAGTTCTTCTGCTATTTAAGTTAGATTTATTTTTAGATATTTTGACCAGTTATTAAATCCACAAATACACAATAATAAATCATACTTGAAAATATAACATTCCATGGGACAATATGGTTTCAGGTAAAACCACACAAGTGTAATGCGTGTGACAAGTCTTACCCAACACCAGGTAACTTGCGCGCCCATATGTCATCACACTCTGGTGAATGGACATACCATTGCAAAACATGTGGCAGAGGTTTTGGAAAAAAGATCAACGTGGAAAGGCATTCCAAGACATGTCACAGATAAACCAAAACATAACAGCCACAATCAACTATTTAGATATCATTATTATATTGTTATAGTAAATATAAAAAAATATTGTGTTTTAATTTAGTCTTCTGTTGGTACATCAAGTCTTATTTTTTTACTAGAGTTTTCCTCTTCTTCTGTAGATGAAGTGTCCCGTTTATTGTTATTTGAAATTTTGCACAATGATGCTTGTGTGTGTGACGAAGTGTCCTGTTTAGTTATTTGTCTTACAACCATGGTAGCATAATTGGAGGGGCGCAGGGAGAATTCGATCGACAATGATTTGAAAGAACCATCTATAGTAAAAGACATTTTTTTTTAGTATTAAAATCATACTATATACAATTTAAATATTTTATGTAATTTTATCACTCACCTGATACAGAAATAAATGGTTGTTTATTTTCTAATACTTCAATATCAGACAGTAACAAATCATCATTTAAGTCGTTATGATTAATGGTAGCCCAGACTAAATCTTCAGCTTTAGATACAATACACCTATAAGTGCCTTTAAGTGAAAACAGTCTACAAAATAAAAAACATACGATTAGACAGTAATAATATCGTATGGAATAAAAAACTTACTTGTTTTTCTTTGAAAGCTTTTCAGAAGTTAGGCCATCTTTTGCTAAAAGATCAATATACCATTTTCCTATTTCATTATCTGGATAGCTGACATCACAACCTGGCAATGGATATACAACATCAAAAATTGTATACTTGGATAAATTTTCTTCTGATATTGTTTCAACTTCTGGAAATTTTACATTATTTACATCAATTTCTTCTTCTTCCTCATCTTCAACATCTTTGTTTTCTTCCCCATCAATAACTTCAACAGGGACTTCTTTTAATTCATTGTCCTTGAAAACCAAGTCTCCCACAATTGGTTTCAAACCAAACTTTTGAATACGTTGTGACACAATCTTGTTCCACATTAAACTCTGATAAGAGTGAAGATACAATAACACCAAGTTTCTTGGGATCTACAACATTCATAATAATTCAATTAGACAACATTGATAAACACAATAATTATTAGTTTTCTTACAATTTGAAAGGCGTTAACATAGGCCTTAGGACCATTAAAAGCCAATGATCGTATTATTTTTGCTTCAACTGTGTAATTTTTTTTTGACAGTTGTCTTAAAGCCAGTTTTGGGTCCCTAGTTGTCCACCATACTGATCTGGCACGATCAGTGTCATTCTCAAACGCACTCTCCAAAGGTCTAGGTTTCAAAATATGTTCAATAGCCTAAATATGAAAATGAAATACATTAATACATAACTATTACAGTATTTTTGATATAGTAAATAGTAATGGCTCGTGGTATGGTGCACAGGAACATATTATGAACTACCAAAAAAAATAGCTTAAAAAATGATTAGATTTTTATAGTAAATTATAACTGGTTATTATGCAGTCTGTAATATAAAAATTGTTTATCAAAATAGAAAAAAGTTTTTGCAGCATTTTATGTTTACAAGTAGTGTGTCTATGAGTACAAATATTAACTACATTCATCGACTTAGATAAGTACATTATTTTGGATAATATATCTATAACAAAACTAATTTACTAAATAAAAATTATGATATATTTATTACATTGGTATCTAATAAAATTATTGTTACACCACCTTATAGTCGCACAAGCCTCCACTTATAGTAAATATTAATGATATTTATACCTCTTCACAGTTACCACAGGCCAATGATTTTCCAACAACATAGGTGGGGGATACTACTGAGCTACCAAATCTTTGTAAACCATAATAATTAATGAACCCGTGAATTTTTAACATTTCAATAGCATTAGATACTTCTTCATCATTTCCTTTGATATTTCTAAAATAACAAACAATCATATAAATAAATATAACAAAACTCATAATATGTAATCTTTCATGGCATTAATAAAATTATTCATAAATCATTAACTAAGTATATAGATTATAGGAAAATTATTGTTTATTTTAAGTTATTTAACTTATATTTAGAAATATTTATCATTTTTTTTTTTTTAAGAATAATATTAATTTTAAAATATGAGTGTAAATATTACCTTAGAACAATGCGAAATCTATTTCCTTTTAGATCGCCTAATTTAAGTGTAGAATCTTTGTAAATATAGTTACCAGTCCATATATTTCTGGCATTAAGTTTTGCTACATTATTGGCATTTAATTTTCGAACTGATAACATTTGAGTTGTATTCCCACGCTTATCTTTAGTGCCAGCATGTTTAATTGTATTAACTTTCACTCTGAAACAAGCACAAGTTTTTATAAAATAAATGCTTAGTTATACACTAGATTACTAGAAAATCAAATATTATTTTGTCATAACACAATAATAACATTTTAATTGTTTGTAAATAACTATAGTATGGCCAGCTAAACTAGAAGCTTGACTGTCGCGCTAATGGTGGCAAATTTTCATCAGAGTTTCTACGACTAGTTTCCAACATAAAATAATTTCAAATGGAAGTGATTTGTTATAAAGACAAAATATTTTATAATATCTAATATCTTTACAATATACATTTAGTTAGGGTACTGAAAATTCTTCATATAACAGCTGAAATACAATTTGTTTATATATTAATATTACCTTAGTTGTTTTGAGAGAATGCTCACTACATTTGTAGTGTCCATGTTGCATTTGTGTAAAGCAAAATGGAGATATTCAGGTCTAGATTTAGGCCATGTTTGTCTCTCTGGAAAAAAGTTATATGATATTAAAGTGATAACTGATAAGTAATAACTAATAACACTATAGAATTTAAATTAATCAAAGTAATCTGATTTTATAAATACAGTGAAACTTGTTTGTTTAATGAAACTGTTTAACAAACTTCTATTTAACAAAACTTTTTGTTAAACAAAATATTTTTGAGAATCAAACCAAATTAGAGCCAATTTTATTCAATTCCATTTAACAAAATTCTCTATAATACAAATTGTTTTTAATGGCCCATGAGACTTTGTAATATAGAGGTTTCACTGTATCTTGAACCTGATGTTTCCCTCAAAGTACAATATATTATATTATATTCATGTAATCTTATACCATAGCTAACCATTTTTGACAAGTGTAGATAATCTAATGACTATAAACTGTTTATCCTGATCATCCTTTTTAGTGTTCGTACTAATTTTAGCACCATACTTGAATTTTAAAAAATTGTGTATTGACTTTCGCTGTTCTTTAGTTAATCCATCCACCTGAAAGTTATGTATAAATCAGTATAAAAATATATTTATTGTATAGTTTTATACATTAGTATTACATTTATTTCAATACTTTTGGTACCATGTAATTCTACCAGCTCTTCAATATCCTTTGAGTATTCCTCACATAAACCAGTTTCATCAATAACATCTAAACACAGTCAATAAGTTAATAGCTTAAGAGTAAATGTATGTTAAATTGTTTTTATGAATTACCTTTCAAAGTAGTATCTTCGGCTTCCTTTTCTGGAACAGTGCGGCTTGAAAGACGCACAACAGTCCCATCCAACGCAATTTCATTCACTTGAAAATCAGACAATCTAAAAGGTGCATTGTTATATTAATAATGAATTAAAAAAATATATATATATTGTTGGTCTTTTATTCACCTGTGCTTCAGTATACCAGAAATTCCAGGAACAGATGTTGTAAATTCTGTAATACCTACATCCTTTTCTTGAAGTCCTTCATACAATACTGTCTTAACAGGACCTGAATATAAGCATAACAATTTTATATTATATTTTAAATATATTTAACTCATTAGATAGTTGTAAGTGTAAATTTGTACGAGAAATTTTCTGGAACGAATCGTCATTGGCTTCATTAATAGGTTTGATACTGCTGTCCAATTCTTTGTCTACAGTGGTACTCATTTCAAAAATGTAATAAAAACTTTGTTGGACAGACAAATGTATTAACTGTTAAGTATACAAAAGAAAAATTAGAACTAAAAAATAAAAATGTTTCAATAAATCATAACACTGTTTGCCAACGTTAAAAGTGTAAAATAGAATAAAAATAAAAATAGAATACCTAACTCAAATTTATATTATGATTTATAATAATCAATAATCATAATATTATAAATGTATAGACTACAGATAAAAATAATGGTTTATCAGACAAAACACGGGGTAGCCGGTTGCCGGAAGCGTTACAATTAGAAATCGACTTTTTAGGTTAAATTTGATTATTAAAAACGAGGAATTGTCTGATGACCGATTGGCGATTATCTTTTATTCAGTTTTGTGGGTTGTAAGTTGTGGCGGGCTTGCGGCCTTGAAGGTAACAAATAACAATATTCCCATTGGTCGTATTTTATTATTTAGCTTATTTTCAATATTGCATGATGCAATTTGTATCATGTATATTGTATATTATGATATTATTGTATATCTTAGAATTTTAGATCATATACATTATATAGTAATATATACGTATATGATCTAAGTTGTATACTTGTATATGTTCGTTATCTATATTGACTATTTACAAGTTTACAACATAGACCTTATACCAGGTCTATGGTATACAACCATTGTGGTATGATATTCACTACGAGGAAATTCTGGAGCGGATTACTATCACGACTTATCACGATTTACTTTTTATGTCATACACCACGACCGCGGTTTAACAAGATACCAAGCGCTCACGAATTTCTACCTCTTCAACGTTTCAAATGTCGGTGTTTGTTCTGCAAAACGTTTGCCGCTCCAGAATTTCCTCTACAGTCCTGAGTCCAGTCCCAAATCACCACTCACTAATCACCATTATGGCATTATTAGCAGTGATAATATCAGAAATTCAGAACCAGAGTCAGTACTCGCAACATAAATAGTAAATAAAGGGGGGTTCACACTACACCGTGTCGTGTAAAATAATCACGGTTACCACAGTTACCAAACGATACCGCATAGTTGAATATATTCAACTTTTGACCGTGTGGTTACATTTATGTGCAGATAAAGCCGGGTTCATACTTAATGTAACCACACGGTCAAAAGTTGAATATATTCAACTATGCGGTATCGTTTGGTAACTGAGGTAACCGTGATTATATTACACGACACGGTGTAGTGTGAACCCGTCTTAATAAATAGCATGACAAAAGTAATCAGTGGTCACTGGTCACCACTCCACAGTCTGTGCTCACGACTCACCAGTCACCACTGGGCACTCGTCTGATCTACTTTATTATACGTTTTTATTTAATTTGTTCCATTTAAATTATCTATAATTTAATATACTTAAATGGTGTTTTAATACCGATAAAATATTTTAGTTGTGAATGGTAATGTCTTTTCCAGCACAAAACGCTAGAGGTATTTACAACTGTTTTCATATATTTTAAAATTACACCACAATAAAACATATTATAGTACTGTACTACTGTATTCCCAATTAGGTATTCAGAATCGAAAGATACTCGAAGACTTGGAGCTAAAGAAACAGATATTATTAAAAACCGGCGCTGTTCCCACTCCTCCAACAGTTTCCCATCCTACAACTCCGGTATGACAATGTAGTTTCGGTCCACATGGTCGATCAATCAAATAATATACAATAGCGTTGCTTCTACCATCTACATTTTTAATAAATGTCTTGATATTTGTTCAACATAAATTTTTAAGCTTGGCAATCTAGAGGTTAGAGGTTATAAATATTTTACCTATATAGTTTAAGTATCAACACAAATCCAGTATGTATTGGTAAATAATGTTTATGTATAAGGTATACATCACATTTCCAAACATTTTTTTATTAATTACAAGGTACCTATACATTTTTTTGATACAGAATTAATTGACTTAATGGTCCTAATTCGTTTTAATTTGAGTTAAGACAACACATAAGCTCTTAAAAATGTAATTTTTTTTTTATAGCCTCTAGTAACCAAAAAAATTACATGTTATAATATATTGTATAGACATATAGTATAGCTGATAGTTGTAATTAACTAGCTATGTAATAACATATCAATGTTAGATATTTATAAATATTTAGGTACAGTTTCCTAATAAGTAATAATAATCATATTATACCTTATATTCAAATTTCAAAAAGATTGATACTTAAGAATAAAAGTCATTACATAGTTAATTACATATTATTCACATCTGTCAGTTCCTTATGTTATACCCTGTATTTATAATTACAAATGTTAATAAAAATCTCAAAAGTATTTATTTTCTAAATGTTAATCTAATTAATTGTTATATTAACACAATGTTTTTAGGGAACATCTGATAGTCATTTTCAACGTGCCCAAGCCTCGCAATCTGCAGGTTTTTTCATCACCACAGATTCAGCTTTTGGAAATTCTATACTACCTGTCCTGCCGCGCATTGAAAAATAATACTTAACCGCCATGGCAAGTATGAAGTTAAAGACGTTACAGCATGCACTTGAAGATATTGAAACATTTGAAAACCCAAAAATTGAACTAGAACAATATACTACATCGTCCCATATTGCAGCTTGTATTCTACATACAGCCCAATTTGTATATAACGACATTAGTGGCAAATGTGTAGCTGATTTAGGATGTGGTTCAGGAGTGTTGAGTATTGGTGCCGCTTTGTTAGGTGCCCAATATTGTGCAGGTTATAAACATTCTATAGTCTACAGTATGGTGTTAGGATATTTAAAAATTATCATTTCTGTCTGTTTTATTTGTTTCTTAGGTTTTGATATAGATCCATCTGCTATTTCCCTGAGTGTGGAAAATGCTGCTGATCGTGATGTCTTGGGCCAATGTGATTTTATTTTATGTGATGTAAAAAAGATTGATAAAAACATGCAACTTAAAGCATTTGATACTGTCATAATGAATCCACCGTTTGGAACGAGAGAAAGGGGAGCTGATCTAATATTCTTAAAAATGGCTTTAAGTCTCGCTACTAAAGCTGTATATTCACTCCATAAAACAAGCACGAGAAGACGTGTTATGTCCATGGCCAAAGAATTGGGTAGCTATGCCAAGGTTATTGCAGAGTTAAGATTTGATCTACCAGCTTCTTATAAATTTCATAGACAAGATTCTGTTGATGTGCAAGTTGATTTAATACGTTTTGTATTACCATTATCAGTTAACAATCTCTGAACTAATTTTGTATAATTCACATTCATATAAAAGAAAAGGAGAGGATACAATTTACATTTTGAAGACTATTACACGTTAACACAATTTAAATTGATGAATTTTATATATCATACTATATAGAAATAAACTAACTAACAATAAATATCTATATTATATATTCAAATATTTTATTACTTTCTTTCGACTTGAGTTGAATAATAATTTTAGATAAGTCTGCCATTGTCAACATTTTTAGGTAGTTTTATCAAGACAAATTGTTTAAGTGATTTATATTTTAATTAATTAAATTTATTTGAGCATGTATACCAGTGGTGTGTAACGTGGGGTCCAAGAATTGTTCAGGCAACACCTTAAATATGAGTTGAAAAATAGGACATTTTATCGGTAGGATTAAGTAACAACAATATCAAGAGATGTTGGTCACCTAAAATCATTTGGGTGACACAAATTTTTTTTGTTGATATTAACCATTTGACATTTACTTTGGTCTCTGTTGCATAATAAGAATTTATGTGTGCTACGCTCATAAGTGTCATATTACAATCGGCGGGGACTATCCATTGGTCATTATTGAGTAGCAAATTTTAATGCACATCAATACAATGTATACAGTTAACAATAAAGGACTTAAATAAGTTAGCGTAATTATTCATATTAGTAATCCACAACATTCCCTGTGTACAAAATGTAAATTTATTATTTTTCATTAGTTTATTATTGTTTTATACAAAATTATAATATTACATTTATTTGTATATTACATAACAGGCTTGAAGCACTTGCATACTGGATGTAGGAACAAACAGTGATGCATAATACATTTCAGTTTGGAGAATAGAAATTTGATTTTGTATTTTTCGAGGATTTTTTAATTTTATAGATTTTAATCTTTTTTAGTATCGTCACTGGTAAATCCAAAACTCGGTAATAAAACTGTACACAAAATAATTAAAACATACAGTTATATATACAAACTATTATCGTTATCTAATTTATGAATAATATAATTTTTAGTAAAATTACATTATTAAAATAAACGAGCAAAATTATGTTTTTTTGCTATGTATTTTTTACTTGCTTCCATATTGTTATTAACTAATTATTAACTAATTGTTATTAGTCTAATATTATTTATTTCTTATGAAACATATTTAAATTTAAAATACATTATTTAATTCAATAAAAATAATAGCATTCGCGTAATTATATTGTTTAGATTATCGTAAAAAAGTACTAGTACATCTAATATCAAAAAAAATAAATATAAACAGAATTTTAAATGATTAAATTATAACTTAATGATTGAACTATAATTGTAACAAATATATTTAAACAAATATTAATGCATCATAATAATAGTTAATACAAAGTAATAGTTGATTGCAGGTAGTAATTTACTATATACGTTTTACTGCATGTAAGGCATAAGATAAATCAGTCGAGTCAGTCCAACTCCATCGGTTTGTAAAAGGATCATATGAAAGTCCATTAATTGAAATAGTATCACATTCACCTAGATGAACAAAGTTAAACCAACAAAATAAAATATATACATGTTGTAACTAAAAGTTGATATTTCAAATTTGATGATCTTATAATATGTATGTATTGTTTAGGAAAAATATGAACATTGTTATTGATCTTATTATTTTTTTTATTACATATTAAAACAAAAATACACAGTTATATAGATTTAACGCATTTAGTGCAATAGTGTATAACGTATTTGATTATACTTGTCGTGACACTAAAAAAAATTGTGTTTTTAAAAAAAATACTTAAAAATTGAAAAATTAAAATATTTTTATACGACTTGCATATACTAGTAAAATAATGCTGATAAAGATAAGCTAACAAAAAACAAATAGTTTAATTGTAGTGCATTAAATAATAATGCACATGATGCAAATTGGTGTCATTAAGTACATGCATACAATGTCAAAAATGCCATTTGGCGTCACCAGGGAACACGTTAAAACAATCATTCGATGTTTTTATACTTACAATTATTTTCTAAAATTGACTGCAATTCGTGAGGACATATGAATTTTTCCCATTCGTGAGTACCTTTTGGTATGAAATTTAATGTTTCTCCTAACACTATAACGCTCAACCATGAACAAATCGTTCTATTTGGGGTTGTTACAAACAAAGATCCTCCAGGCTGTAAAAAAGAATAAAAAAACATTATGTTTTAGTTATTATTAATATTTATATAGTAGTAACAGCTTAAACCAACCATACTTGTTTTGCAAAAATTTTAACAAAATTAACTATACTCTGTTCAGAATAAGAATAACAAGTGATCGCACGTTATCAAAGGCAATGATCTGTGAAGTGGGGATGGATGCACAAACAACATTTTTTCTTCTGTCATCTGGTCTATTCTTATTCTGAATAGAATATAGTAATTGGTTATTGTCATTAAAATATTTGTTGAGATTTAAATAATTTAAATTTAAATATTAGGTATAAAAATACCTTTAGGTATACAATAAAATTTTTAAATGTTTTTTTGTGAACTTTTCTACATTATATTATGCTTGATCCTTTTTTATTTATTTTTTACTTTAAAAAGTATATTTACAATCTATACAACAGACAAGGTATAATAAGTAAGTGTGGTGACATAAAATAACATCAATAAGAATAGGAAGGCTCCCGCAGTGCCACCTGACCAGAAATTAATGCTTGATCCTAGATAATTTAAACATGGTTTTAACATATTTTTATTAAATATGAATATTAAGTTATAACTTTTGCTGAGGACATGTAATTAAAATTATACATATTATGACACATAAGTAGCTATACTTTTTAATCCATTACATATTAGGCATTACTTGAAATAAAATTAGACAATACTTTACCATGTACAGTTAAATTCCTGTCACATGATTTTGAAGAATCAAAGTAGCAGTAAAAATGATTTGCTATCAATAAATTCAACAATTCAAGTAGTACACAAAAATAATTTAGAATTACCTTTAAGCAATCAATACATTTTGTTAAAAAGCCATATTTATTGGATACATGCTCCAAAACTTCTGAAGTTACAATAGCATCATATGATTCTGTGTTTGATAGTGCATGCTCTTCAATTGATTCATTGAAATATCTACAAATAAAAATAAATTTATCAAAACCATATTAAGTGAATATTTTTTGTCTAGTTACATAATATTTTTGTTTCTTAGAATCACAGAATGATCATTGGCGATTGTTATTAGTTCTTTACTGGGATCTATTCCGGTCACATTACCATCAATACGCGCTAATGCCTAAATATAGATATAAGCTTTTAAAGTTTTAAAACATTTCAAAAATTTTAACATATTATATTAAAAATTTTAAACATTACCTCAGTTAAAATTCCACCACCACAACCGACATCAAGTATTTTTATATTTTCTAAACTTTGACGAGTGCCAATGTTTTTTGTTTCAATTTTTTTCATATTTGTTAATCCATTTATTATAAATGAAACTCTAATTAATATAACATTAGTTATTACATTTTATTACTTTTTACCCAGTTAAATTAACAGTTAATTATAAATTACCTTAATGGATTAAAAGAGTGTAATGCATTTAATGGTCCATTACTATTCCACCAATACTCTTTCATGTTGGAATGATGTTCTACTTCATGAGCATTTACCGTTTCTTTTACATAATTTTGCGTTAAAGTTCTAAAATTTCAACACATTTTAAAATAAGTTATAAGGCTGAACATAATATATTATACATTCTATCAAGTTATAATTTCTAAACACAAATAATATTACCTATATGTTCATTATTTAAGTATTCATTACAGTAAAATAGAATTGTAAAAATTTGATAGGTATCTCTGCTTTATAGACAACTAGACAAGCATTCTATATTAGTTTAAGAAATAAGAAGTATGCTTAATGATAAGACTGAGCATATTTTTTTAAGGGGCAATGTATAATTTATATAACAAATAACATGCAATCAACAATAAACACAAGGCGATATCATGCGTATACATTTATTCTTATGCAATGCAGTATGCAAAAAAACACTAAGCGATGCACTTCCGCTAACTAGGACGAAAAAACCGTTCATGTTGAGCATACTTCTTATTTCTTATAATTACTAAGTAGACAAGTACATATTATATAAGCTCTGATTTGAATATGATTGATTTCAGTTACAGTACCTAGGTACTATCTATAGGATCTTAAAAGGACATGGTTTAACACATAGAACCCTCAAAATTCACTTAAATATGTAATTGTACCTAAGTAGTTTAACAAGAGCAATACTAAATTATACATAATATATTGATAATTAATTAAATACTTAACACCTATGTTAGGTAGACAAATACATACAAAATAAAATATACATTTAACTTTTAAAATTAAAATTGGATAATTTTTACCTGAAAATAAAGAAAGAGTTTGAAATGTTTGTTTTCTTTGCTATTAAATTCATATTGGAGTATTAAGAATAATCATAAAATGTTTTAAATATCAAACTCAGAGAAAATATAGAAGAAGAAATAAGTTTAAACTTAAATTGGTATTTTGTCAAAAATGTATACAAGATGTCGAGGTACGAGCAACTGTGCAGCAACTCATGACAATTGACAACTGCAGAAAATATTAAAAATATTAAAATGTAAAAACTTTAAAATAAGTCTATGCTCTGATGTTAATTAATAATTACTATTATAATTAGCGCTCACATTTATACCACAATTTTATTATTAATTATATAAATTCTGTGGACTGTAGTCTGTAATAGACAGCGTAATCACGTCTGTGGTACAGGATAATGTGATAAGGCATATTGTTATATTGATAACAATCATAAACGAAGTCGAATGAAAACATCTGTTAAACTAATTGGAAAACGGGAAATAGGCAAATAGAATGACAAAATCATAGACATAAAAATAATTTATTTATATATCTATGAACAAAATAGATTTAGAGGGCCGTTCTTACTACTTAAGTCTGGTAAACTGTCTCAAAAAAATAAGAAAACAAATTAAAACATAAATCATTATTGTTGTCAATGTCATGATAAAATATTAAAATAACTTTAAACTTATCATGATCAATGTGAAACCAATTAAAATTAGCACCTCCGTCCTCTATGGTAATTTTTCAACAGTTGTATAACTAATGAGTAATGATTATTAAATTATTTGTAAAAATAAACTCCAAAACATGTTCAAAATATATTTTTACATTTTAATTGGGAGAACGATTGAGAACACAAGTAGGTACCTAACACGTTTTTAGGTACACATTTTTTCAGACACCAAAAATGAATACAACTTTTGGGTACATCATATTTTTTAAATAATACCACGTTTGGGCACCAATGAGTTTACTGTTTAGGTACACATTTTTTTCTATTTTATTTTTTAGAGTTAATTAGCGTTTATACTTATCGCCTATTGTTACACCAGTACACCACACTCATGATTCCCTAAAACTCGATGTAAGAAGAAAACAAATCGGAAAATAAAATTATTTATTTATTAATGCATGAGTTTTATATTATAAAGTATAAACTACTATAAACTATAATTTATAATTTTGGAAATATTATCTAGATATTAAAATAAAAAGGTTGTATTTAATAGTATGATTTTTAGATTCTGAGTGAATAACAATGAATGTATTGATTTTACAATGATGTGTGTTTTTTTTAATTTTTTTAATTTTTATTTTTTGTGTCTGTGTACACGATAAGTAGTCGAAATAATGCTTCGATTTTCAACTTCAGTACCTTCTTCGATTTGAAAGTGAATATCGTTGGTGCATTGGGGAGGTCAAAATTTAAATTCCCAGTACCTAATTTTCAAAAGCGGCAAGAAAAACAAAAGAAAAATTAAGGAAAAACGGGAATTTTTACGGAAAATATGTTTTCAAGAAATTCAATTTTGGTTTTTCATGCAACTCTTATAAAAATTACCGTAGGTACATGAAATTTTGACAGAATGTTTATATTAGCATTTTCTATACACCATGCCATTTTTCAAATATTTTGACTTATTTTGAGCTCTTTACGGACATTTTCATTTTCCATTTTTTTTTTAGTTTTTTGTCTAAAAATATCAATACAATTTTATTTGTTGGTTGAAAAAGCTTGAAAATTTAATAGAAGGCTCCTAGTATATTGTTTCAATGGCAGATAAAAACATTAAAAATCCTTAGTCACAGTTTTTTTTTATAAGCATTTAAAGTTCAATATTTGACAAAATATGGAAAAATCACGAAAAATAGCAAATTTTTTTTGAGTTAAGAATTCGTAAAAATTTTTCTTTTTAAATCTAAGATTTGAAAATGTAATACAAGATTACTCATAAGATTGTCTACCTTTATCAATAAAAAAATCTCTACCGGACAGTCAAATTAAATTTTTATGAGCGTTTGAAATTCAAAATTTTTACAACATTGGATATTCACTCGATTTCTCATGTAGCGATTTCCTTATTTTGTTGTAATTCAAAAACGAATAACTGTAGATACATGAAAACTTCACTAAATATAAATAATATTTATAAATATATTAGCATTTCCTATACACCATACAATTTTGAAAATATTTTGACTCTTTTTGAGCTGTTTACGGATATTTTCATTTTTCAATTTTTTAGTTTTTTTTTTCTATGAATATCAATAAAGTTTTATCTGTTGGCCAAAAAGTGTAAAAATTTAATACAAGGCTCCTGATATATTGTTACAATATCAGTCGAAAAATATTAAAAATACATAGGCACAATTTTTTTTTATAAGTATTTAAAGATCGAATTTTGAGAGAATTTTTTTAAATCTCGAAAATTATCAATATTATTGTAATTAATAAATTATAAAATGTTCAGTTTTTATAGCTAAGGATTGCAAATTTAAAACAAAGGTTCTCATAAATAGTTCATACTGTAACCAAAAAATATATGAACACAATTATTTTTTACAGACATTTTAAATTCAAATTTGGACGAAATTACATATTAAAAAACCTAGAATAACTATTTTAGTTATTTTGTTGTGATTGAATCAAGGCCGTAACTGGAAAAAAATTTCGGGGGGGTCTAACATTTTTTTAAATATAGATACTAAACACTTCATTTTTAGGTTAAAAATATAAAATTTTTTGATTATCATTATTAAAAACGTAAGTCATTATTATAATATTCAATTTACATAAACATAGGTAATAGTTGATTGTTTATATACATATAGACTTATTCAAATTACTTAAAAGCACAAATTAAAAAAAGATAAAATATAAATACAATTTTTTCAATATTAAATTTACAAAATAATTATTAATTTATAGTCTATAAGCATGCAATATGTTGACTGTTTTATATTAGTAATAGTTCTATCTTTTTGAAGAGCAAATTTAATCAGGACGTCTTTGGGATCCACTTTGATATTGCTATGAACACTTAACAATGCTAGGCCATTTAAACGGTTTTGTCCAATAGCGTTTCGCAAAAATGTTTTCATCCGTTTCAGCGTTGAGAACGTTCTCTCGGGTGTTTCAGTCGAAACTGGTAATGCAGCTAAAACTTTTAATAAAAAGTATATACACTGAAATAAATCAGAATTACAATTGGTTAATGTTTCAACGGCTGTACTAGGACGATCGTTCTGAGAATGTGAGATCCATTTCCTATTCCATAGTTTAATTTCTGTTTGTAATAAATCCATATATATATAGTCAGAATATAAATTAAAATCTGTAGCCGATATTGCAGCTTTAATCTTTATGACACATTTTTGGTATTAATAAATATAAAGAAGACAAAACTGTTTTGTGTTTTGAAAATCTATCTTTTAGTTGTTGAATAAAATCGTCATAAAAAGGAATAGCAATAGCTATACGAAAGTATTCTTCTGCAGAGTTAACATTAACGTTATTTCTATTTTTTTGACGTCCAACTAGTCTTGGCATTTTTATCTGATCCTCTCCGTCCATCAACTTTAACATATTTTTTGCCTTTTCAAATATTTCTTTAAATGTTTAGTTTATATTGATCTGTCTTCAACTTCATTCAAAACAGTTTCGACAAATGTCACTGCTTCACTTAAATCAGTCTTGTTTCATAATCTTAAATAATTTGGATTTTCTGCAACCGAATTTCATATATAAGTTTATATCATAATTATCATCTGTGACAATCACCTTTTATTGTAACTTGTACCAGTTGTACCTAACCGTATCTATCAATCCTAATCTTTATTACGACGTTGAAATAAAATAAAATGATAAATTTTATCTTATTTTAAATTACTGCTTTAACGAAAATATACAATTATTATTTAATACAATTTATAGTTAATAAACTATATTCACCGCTAAAATGTTTCTACTTTTAAAAATTTCGGGGGGGGGGGGGGGGGGGGGGGTCCGGACCCTGGACCCCCCAGTTACGGCCTTGGATTGAATAATGTTATTCGTGAGTACTTGAAACTTCTAAAGTGTACTATTATATTTCTATGATAGGATCACGGTTTTTGTTGATGTATAACGCGTTATAAGTACCTAATGGATATTTTGATATGATTAATTTGGAATTTATTATAGGTACCTATTTTGGGTCAAATTTTGGTTTAGTACCATAGATATGTATATAATATGTCTTATAACTAGACTGACATACCGTCTTCGCTCAGAATCGTTTTTCTTATACAATGATATTATATCATTGAATTCAAATTTAATACCTTCCATTATACAGTGACCCACTGTGCAGCAGAGCACCTTTTTTTAATCTACTTTTCAAATATAAAAATGTTCAATATTTTGGATAATAATCGTTCACGAAACTTTATAAAAAGGGCCAGGAACTTGATGACCTAAAAACATAGGCGCAATTTGGGCTAAATTTATGGGGGTGCTAGATTTATGTGAACCAAAGTAACCCGTGGGGGGCTTCGCCCCCCCCCCACACCCCCCTCATAACACCATTCATGCATTCATAAAACTACCTGATTAATCAATAATTATTAATATTTGAAAAATAAATATATATTACAGGTAAATACGTTTTTTATTTTCATTTAAATATTATACTAAAGATATACGCCTTTGAGACATAGTAAAATTATTTATTATTTTATCTTTATAAATTTTATTGCTTAGATCTCTCTCAATATTAATAACTGACAAATCTGTACATTTTGACTGTTCCATGCTTGTCCTAAGCCAATTCTTTATTCGGCGCATAGATGAAAAAGACCTTTCACAAGTAGCTGAGCTTATAGGAATAGCTAATCCTACTTGAATAAGTTTAAAGAAGTTTGGAAAAACATCTTCCGTCACCACTTTCTTTATTCCAAGTATATCAAAATCCAAATTTCCATTTTGTAAACAATTTTTTGTCAGCAACATTTCTGCTTTCAATGATGTTAAATCAATATTCACAACATCCTAAAATTATATTATCCTCATATGATTATTTTATTTAC